AATTTAACTCACCTCTCTATCCTTTGGACTTTCACTCCTGTTTCTCTAAAAAGAAGCGGGGAGTGTCGATCCTTATTGGGAAGGATGTGGCGTTTGAACTAGTAAAAAAACGTACAGACAAACAGGGAAGATACTTAATTATACAATGTTTGCTGAATAATGCCCCATACACATTAATTAACGTCTATGGTCCTCATACAGCACAGGCCGCATTTCTCCTCAATATTTTTAATGCCATGGATGAAGGCAGACTGGGGGAGGTAGTGATAGGTGGGGACACGAATTTTATTCTAGATACTCAACTAGACACGTCTTCTTCGCACACAGTGAAAGCATCTACTGAAACAGGCAGGAAAACAACCTCCGGGCACATTAACCAACTTCTCTTAGAGCAGAATTTTATAGACCCATGGAGGGTGACACATCCGCAAGAAAAGGATTTCACATTTCACTCAGTGGCACATAACTCGTACTCCCGAATAGACCGCTTCCTGATACCTACCTCCTTGATTAGCAACGTGGTCAACACAACTATAGGCCTTATAACGTGGTCGGACCATGCGCCGATCATTCTCCACTTGAATGAACAATTCCCTGCTAAAGGGAGAGGAACTTGGCGGCTTAACGAAAGCTTGCTCAACGACCCCAAAATATTAGAAGACCTACATAGGGAACTGGAGGTCTACTTTTCGACTAATTCTCAACCAAACACACCCACAGAAGTTATGTGGTTAGCCCATAAGGCATACATTAGGGGTGTATTAATTAAGCACGCGAGCAGGGTCAAAGCGGCGCGTATAGCTAAATACATAAACCTCACCAGCCGCCTCACAACATTAAACACATGTAATAAACAAACACCCTCAAAGACGCACCTTAGGGAGATTACAGAAGTACGTGCGCAATTACAAGAACTGGAAGTGGCTAAAACAAACTTTTTCCTAAGGCGTCTCAAAGCCAAATTCTATGAGCAAGGAAACAGGGCAGGGAAAGTACTTGCCTCCAGGCTTAAAAAACGTAACCTCGCAACTAAAATAGCTTACATTCACAACCCCCAGGGTCAGAAAATCGTAAACCCTGATAAAATAGTTCAGGAATTTGCTCAGTTTTACCACACACTCTATAATCTTAAAGATGATAACCTGACACCCCAACCCACACAAGAACAGATAGACGAATTTCTAGGGAAGGTCCAGCTACCCTTGCTGCCCAATGATAAGATATCTGACCTTATTAAACCAATTTCCGTTGAGGAAGTTACACAAATGATTAAAGATTTACCCAATTCTAAATCGCCAGGACCAGATGGACTCTCCTCCATATACTATAAAACCTTCCAAACTGCTCTTACACCACACTTAATTTCTTTGTTTAACCAAGGTTTCACACAAGGTAAATTACCTGGTGAAATGCTACGAGCTCACATAGTCACTCTACCCAAACCAGGTAAAAAACCCACAGCATGCGCTAATTTCCGCCCGATATCCCTATTGAATATTGATACCAAACTATATGCAAAAATTCTGGCGACTAGACTCAAACATTTACTCCCCACTCTAATCCACTATAACCAATCTGGCTTTGTCAAAGGCAGACAGGGCTCAGACAATTCTAGGCTCCTTCTTAATGTCCTGGAGGGTCTCAACACTAACAAACTGGGAGGACTGTTGCTCGCATTAGATGCGGAAAAAGCCTTTGATAGGCTCAATTGGCTATACATGAAATCGGCACTAAATAAATTTGGCTTTCCTTCAGCATTCATAACAGCAATTATGGCCTTATATTCCTCCCCAGAAGCTAGTGTCACCAACGCAGGATTCGTTTCCACACCCTTTCCAATTTCGAACGGAACGAGACAGGGTTGTCCTTTGTCCCCCCTGCTTTTTATACTATGTCTAGAACCCTTAGCCCAGATCATTCGGCAGGACCCAAACATCCACGGAGTCACTGTCGGCGAACACCAATACAAACTCTCATTATTCGCTGATGACATTCTGTTGACACTGACGAGGCCAAAGATTTCACTCCCAAACCTCATGCCCATCCTACAAACCTTTGGCTCTATCTCGTATTACAAACTTAATACGGCTAAGACTCAAGCCCTGCCTATTAATCTCCCCTTGCAGAATGCTGAGGAATTAAAAAAGACCTTCGATTTCGATTGGAGGACGGAGTCGGTAACCTATTTGGGAGTGCGAGTTGCCAAATCGATACATACTATATACAAACTAAACCATGTCCCTCTCTTAGAAATAATCCGTAAAGAGCTGAATTCATGGAAAGAAGTGATGATCTCATGGGCAGGGAGAATCAACGCGGTGAAAATGATGGCCCTACCTAAACTACTGTACTTATTTCGTATGCTACCGGTACCTATCCCACAAAGCTTTTGCAAGAAAGCCCAGTCCATTATTAATAACTTTATATGGGGAAACAAATGTGCGAGAGTAGCGAGTTCCACATTGTATAGACCATTCCAGATGGGAGGGATGGGGGTACCCCAGGTGGCCATGTATCACCTGGCGGCCATACTATCCCAAGCAGTAAATCTTCACGCAGACAAGGGACGACTACTTTGGGTCGACATGGAACGCAAACAATGGCCTAAGGAAACCCTCCTAGAGTATATGTGGTCCCCACCAGCTAAACGGGGGAAAGCACGTACACTCTTCTCAACAACGAAACTAACCATACACATATGGGATAAGTACAAGGCACTTCAAACTAAGACTTCCAGATTCCATAGACTGGCTCCACTGACCGCCATGTCCACAGTGTTACCATGGCTCCCACTATCCACATGGGCGAAAGCGGGCATCACTAGTATCTCCCAGTTACTCTCGGGTACGGGAATCACTCCTTTTGCCGACCTCCAACAGAAGTACAGTCTAGCCCCTAGATACATATTCCCTTACCTCCAAATTAAAAGTGCATTATTGGAGCATGTCGATAGGACCTTAGAGGGCAAGGCTGGAGAACCAAATCAGCAATGCGACCTGCTTATGTCATGTTGGAAATGTCCCCTTAGGCCTAAATTGCTCTCAAAGTGCTACAAAGCAATATCGAACTTCCCACTTTCCCCATCCCTGTCTTTTATGTCCCAATGGGAAAAAGAAAGCGGAACAACTCTCCTTCCCCACAAATGGCTAGCACTGGTTAATGCACTGACTGGTCACACTGCGTGCTACTCACACATAGAAGCTCACAGAAAGCTAATGTACCGATGGTATCTGACACCAGACAGGCTCAGCAAAATCTATCCGAACACCTCTGACCGATGTTGGAGGTGCCGAGCCCAAAGAGGCACGATGCTCCACATATGGTGGGGATGTGACCTTATTCAGCCATTGTGGTTGGTGGTCGCAAGATTGCTTAGCAACGTAGATATTATTCTCCCGCTGGAGTTTGGGTCCTGCCTTTGGTTGGACCTTCCCCCCAGCTGGACGAAGCAGGAGAGGGGACTGGCCGCACAGGTGATACTGGCGGCTAGGGCTCTCATAGCGCTCAATTGGAAATCAACCATTTGCCCGTCTGAAAAGAACCTCATGGACAAAATCCGACTAAATTATGTGTATGATATCTCTTCTGCGATAACTCCTAACCAAAAACATAAAATATCTAAAACCTGGGAACCTTGGTGTCGCCACTATCAATTTCAGCCTCCATAAAACCATCATCCGGCCTGAGACCCGGATCATACACACACCTGTTACTAACGGTATTATATTTCTAAAAAAAACAAAAAAAAACAGGGACTTTAGCGCAAGGAACGCCTTAGATCCCCCCCCCCCTCGGCCTCCACCTAGATGCTGGATAGCAATCAGATTGTGTCTCCCTCACGTTAAATTGTTAAACTGTTTTTTGTTACACTATATTCTACCTTATTTTTTTCGGTTTCACTTTTTGTTTAGGAAGGTTCAGGCAGAGCATTACCTGGTCACCTGTGCAATACCTCACAGAATTCCACACCTCTCAGGGATACATAGGAGGCATTAACAGAGTAGGCAGGGAACCCCGTCCAGTGGAGGGACAGTAAGACCTTAAAAGCAAGAGGGCCAAACCTTGAGCCTCCTTGATCCCCCCCCCAAACGCCCTACAAGGTTAAGGTATGCGACATACAAGCAGATCGCATAACAAATAGGCTAGAAATAACTAGAGCATCGCCCTCAGCGCACGCAAGAAGCTGATAGCTCCATGGCCTCATCGACGAGATACACTTAGAGGGTGAACAGTGGGGTATAGGTAGTGCCAGTTTTGAATTGGGATGAGCAGCAACTACTTTACGCCCAAATAACTGCGCACCTAGTTAGACGGTGATTAACATGAAATGTGAATGTCATTGTGATGTATCAGATTCTCTGTACTGTAACCCTGAACCCCTTACCCTACCCTTTTTTTCCTTCTGTACCCACTCCCTACTCTCCTTTGTGTCAAAAAAAACCAATAAACTCAAATTTAAAAAAAAAAATTACATTTTTTTTTATTTTTTCATTAATTTTTTAAGACCGGTTAGTGGCGGTGATATTTGTTATAGACAGTTACCTGTATTACTGGGATACCTCTCTTTCATAGATTTTAATTGAAAATCAGGCATATGGACAAAAGCTAGGAGAGAGAGAGCTTCACCATTGAAATAAATGGGAGTGGCTCAATTGTGCAACTGTGATTGTACACTGAACTGAATGGATGCCACACACCTTCCATTCTTCTTCATAGGAAAATGTAGTAGTGAGTGGGTCACTGTACACTCACTATTACCTTTATGAAAAGTGTGATAGGCAGAGGGAGGGGGTAAGGCTGTGATAGAGAAAGAACGCCTGTTATTTTACAATGGAATACAATCTTAAAATTCTGTGTCCAAAATAGAAGCTTGTTTATATAGTGACTTTACATTTAAAGTATCTTATTTCATGTAAGTGAGAAAACAATGTTTACTAGCATTAGACGTCGGTACTATTCAGCATGGATTAGTGTATAACCTTTTTTTTTTACATTATAGAATCCAATGAAATTATCTAAAGAAGTGGATTACGCATGCTAATAAAATGAGCTAAAACACAACTGCCATTAAGATTAAAATCTTTCATGCAAACAGCTCCCGATGGTGTTCTGCTTATTTTGAACATTAGAATATACACATCAAAATACTAAGTGACATTTAATGGATCGCATTAACATAGAAAAGTGAAATTAAACCATAACAAATTAATAACCAATCATAAGCGTGCATTTTAGGACAAGAATTTAGATAGGTTACTTCCTTTTATTTTGAGAAAACATGCTCTTTTTAAATCACAGATAATGTATTATTTTTTTTTCCCTCCAAACTGTTTTCTGAAGCCATGGCAAAAAGTTTTCATTTTAAAATAAAAAGTATTATTATTTATTTTTTGTTGAAAATTTTTAAACTCTGACTATCTTTGCTTGATAGCTCTCAGCCAATGAGGTAAGCTTTGCACTGCGGACTTAGCTCTGAAATAGAGTTTCCGGCTCTTGTAGAGGCAGGGAAAAGTACTTGGTGGACCGTTAGCAACTGGATTGGCTACTTACATGGGGGTAGGACACCATGGCATTCTTGCTACCATAATTACTGCAGCACACTTGAGTGGTTATGGTGCTGGGAGTGTTCCTTTAACTCACTTCAATTTAGTTTTCAGTGAATCCACACCTTAAAGGTTAAAACCCCTTCAGTGACTTACCAGAGGCGGCGACATGTCCCACGTCGCTGCTTCTTCCGCCGCCACTCCTCCTCTGCATTACGTTGGCCGGTGGGAGAGCCTGATCCCGCCCACCGGCCGGGGAGACCTAATGTGCATGTGCAGCAATGCCGCACATGCGCATTAGAGCTCCCCATAGGAAAGCATTGAAAATGCTCCTCCTTTTCTGTGCTATGATGCAGGAAGTGCCCTCTAGTGGCTGTCTAGTAGACAGCCAAAAGAGGTGGAGTTAACCCTGCAAGGTAATTATTGCAGTTTATAAAAAAAATTAAAAAAAATTCAATAATTACAGTTGCAGGGTTAAGAGTAGTGGGAGTTGGCACCCAGACCACTCCAATTGGCAGAAGTGGTCTGGGTGCCTGGAGTGTCCCTTTAAGCTGTGTTTTTCATCTTCACTGTTCAACTGCTCAATAGAAGAAATTAATTTAAAGAAATAATTTTCTGCTAGTGGAAGAATTAGCCAAGCTCAAGGTCTTTCTGCCCAATGTATTGATTGGCCCTCATTACTGAAATCCAGTAAAACCTTGCTAGATTTTTAATCAAACAAGCTAGGTCATTGTTAAGCTAACCTTTTCTGTGTCAGAGTTTCCAAGGGTGATGATGCCTGCTTTGCACTTTTAAACCACTCCACATTAATTTGTTGTTTTGATGCTTATTGTGGTTAAAAAAAGTTTCTTACATAAAATGATAAATGGGAATAATGGCTATTTAAAAAATTTTTTGCATGGTCTACACAGTAGATCAACTTGTTTTGTTACATTATTTGCAACTAGAAGAAACATTGTCTGATCTACTCTATGGTACTCTATGGTATTCGTGATATAAACTATATGTAACGCTATTTATTGAGCCTGTGACGTCCAAAGAAATGTTAAGTGTTCTACATTTGTTTCTAAGAAACGTTGAGCATAAATAACAATGCAGATTCCAAAAGAGTACAATTTTCTAGGATAATATACACACTAAAAGGACACTCCAAGTACCATAACCACTGTATTTTCATGTAGTGGTTATGGTGACATGAGAGCCCTTATGCCCTCCCATGATTAAGTAGTCAAACTGATTTCAAACAAATTACCTGGGTCTGCCACTCAACCCCTCCTCTGCTGCTGGAAGTTGCAGCACTGAGCTAAGCCCAAAGGTGCTGCACCTTTTTGCATATTTTCAATATTCTATAACAAACACTTTTGCCACATCTTCCCCGTTGCAGAGGTCATTGTGAACGCTCACAAGGCCAGTAAGAGAATTTACTATTTGAAGGAAACCATTTTTTTTAACAATGTTAAATTACACTCAGAATTGCTGATAAGTGATGTCCCGAACTGTTCGCCGAACGGTTCGCCGCGGACTCATCATTGAATGTGTATGCTGACTGTGAGGTACAGGGTCAAAGTTTACTCAATGATGAGTCCATGGCGAACCGTTCGGGACATCACTATTGCTGATTCTTGCTCTATTAAGCGAGAACTTCTTTGTTGTGTTTTTCAAATTGCTACTTTAATATTTAATCCATCTCAGGTGACAAGTAAGAGACCCCATACGTAGCAATCCACTGCCCTGCTCATATTACTCTGTATCTCCATTTATGTGGCCTGTATAAAGTGTATTTTTAAGAATTAAAACAAACAAACAAAATATAATAATCACAAAAAAGTCTGTCAACTTCTCAGGACATGAAGTTTGTGTAAATGTTTATCCATGTCAAATGTAACAAATATGAGAGTATCCACTAACCTAAACTGCGACACCAACTGTATTTTGTACCTATTAGGACACACTGTTACAGCTGCTTTTTAAGAATTACAATAGACTATGTTAACTATGTGTGTTGCACTGTTGACCGAACTTGGTGACTTGTTATGGTTTAATAGCTAGTTTCTTGCTTTATTAACCCCTTAAGGACCGAGGACGGTTCAGGACCGTCATCGGCATTTTTGCGTTGCCGACCGATGACGGTCCTGAACCGTCCTAACGGTCAGAGCTACTTACCTGATCGCCGTCGTTCCCCCGGCGGCGATCAGCGTGGCTCCGGTTGTGGGGAGACTGCCTGCAGCCCAGACAGTCTCCCCACGGCAGATTAGGACCCCTGTGGCCATGTGATCGCTTAACACAGCGATCACATGGTCACAATAGGTGTCCATAGTGCTGCCTGCAGGGGGACTGTCTGTGCTGACAGGCAGTCTCCCTGCATGTGTAAAATCAAAAAATAAATTAAAGTTAGTGTTAATAAAAAAAATAAAAATAATTATATATGTGTATATATGATATATAGACATATATTATACCTATATAATATATGTCTATATATCATATATATATATATGTCATACTAAATGTATTTTTATATTAATATGTACTTATATTAATATAAAAATACACTTATAATTAAATTACACACGTGTATATATATAATATATATATATATATAATAACTATATATATTGTGTATATATATATTATTATAAAATATAAATAAGTAATTTAAATTAAATAAAAAAAATTTAAAATAATAATAAAAAATTAAAAAAAAATTATATATCTATATGAAATTTTATTCTAACTGTATTTTAAAATTAATATATATATATTTATATCAAAATACACTTAGAATGAATTTGTATATATATCTATGTATATAAAAATAAATAAAAATAATAAGAAATATACATACGTCCATATACAAAATTACATAAATAATTATATAAATATACACGTAGACTTCAAATATATAAATATGCATATATATTTAAATTCTACGTGCGTATTTATGTAATATTTTTACATAATTCAGTAATTTTATTGATTGCAATTTGAGGGACCTGCCTGCCAACCCAGGCCGAAATTCCAGAGAATTTAATTTGCTAGCACTGTATTTTACCCTGTAACGTTCTACGACACCCTAAAACCTGTACATGGGGGGTACTGTTTTACTCGGGAGACTTCGCTGAACACAAATATTAGTGATTCAAACAGTAAAACATATCACAGCGATGATATTGTCAGTGAAAGTTACTTTTTTTGCATTTTTCACACACAAACAGCAGTTTTACTGATGATATAATTGTTGTGATACGTTTTCCAGTTTTTAAACACTAATATTTGTGTTCAGCGATGTCTCCCGAGTAAAACAGTACCCCCCATGTACAGGTTTTATAGCATTTTTGAAAGTTACAAGGTCAAATATATGGGTCAAATATTTTTACATTGAAAATGGCCAGGTTGGTTACGTTGCCTTTGAGAGCGTATGGTAGCCCAGGAATGAGAATTACCCCCATGATGGCATACCATTTGCAAAAGAAGACAACCCAAGGTATTACAAATGGGGTATGTCCAGTCTTTTTTAGTAACCACTTGGTCCAAAATTAGCGTTCAATTTAGTTTTTTTACTTTTTTCACACACAAACAAATATGAATGCTTACTTTGGCCAGTGTTTTCGACTAAGTGGCTACTAAAAAAGACTGGACATACCCCATATTGAATACCCTGGGTTGTCTACTTTAAAAAAAATATGTACATGTGGGGTGTTATTCAGAGATTTATGACAGATAATAGTGTTACAATGTCACTATTGATAAATTTTAAAAATTATGTTTTGAAACTGCAATATCCTACTTGTACCTATAGCCCTATAACATGCAAAAAAAAGCAAAAAAGCACGTAAACACTGGGTATTTTTAAACTCAGGACAAAATTTGGAATCTATTTAGCAGTTTTTTTCATTCGCTTTTGTAGATGAGTAAAAGATTTTTCAAGTAAAAGTCAAAAAACATGTATTTTTTCAATTTTTCATCAGATTTTTGTATTTTTTTTAAATTAAAATACATGAGATTATATAAATAATGGTATGTAAAGAAAGCCCCTTTTGTCCTGAAAAAACAATATATAATTTGTATGGGAACAGTAAATGAGAAAGCGGAAAATTACAGCCAAACACAAACACCACAAAAGTGTAAAAATATGCCTGGTCGCAAATGTACAACATCGCAAAAACAGTCCAGTCCTTAAGGGGTTAATACATGTGTTTTATCATTTGCAGGCAGGGCTCTCAAAATCTAATGTATCAGTATTTCTCTATCTGCAAGACTTTAACTATGTGTATCCATTAGCTGTTAACTTTGATGCTGTATAAATAAATGAAGGTTATAAAACCATATTCATATGTATTTGTTTTTTGTTTTTATCTAGTCACTGTGGGTAGTAATAGGGACTCTATGCATTCCATCAGAGAGCTGAAATAATTCAGATGTTTGACTTTGAATCGTGCTGGAGTATAAAAGAGACTGGTTATTCTCCTAAGGTGCTTCTAATTTTATTTTTTTTTATTTTTTACGTTACCCTCCCCCTTTTATTAAAAGCTTTAGAATGTAGAATAAACAAGGTACAAATAAATCGACATCTCTTTGCAGTATGTGCCTTATATAAATCTGTAGTTAGTTAGGTAAAGACAATATTTTGCCATCCTATAGTTATTGGCAAAGGAGGGGAAAAGGTAAATTCAATAATATTGGAATTATCTGTCGCAAAATGTTACGTGGTTTGCTAATATTATAAAAACTATTTTAACAAGTTATTTATAGCTAAGATGTGAAATACAGCCATGATGTTTACATGGTTACTTCAGGCGTCAATCCCTGCAGCCTGCTGTAGTGCTTATGATGCCTGGAGTTCCTGGCACCAAGTTACCGTAATGGGGCAAACTGTTTTGCCATGGTTTGCTTTCTTACCTGTGTCCCTGCGAAATGCAGAGGGTCCTTTTAGTGGTCTGTGATGACTTCTGATAGAGCTGCAGAAACCGGCAGATGATCCTTCTGTCCATGTATTGTCTGAGAGCATCAACTAATTGCTGTCAGGTAATGATTGCAATTCTGTGCATAGGGGCAAAGGGGTTAAAACTCCTGTATGTGCAGCGTTTGAAAGAGAAACGCTGTATGTACGGACTCCAGTCACTATGACCTCTTCAAATCAGGGACGTGGTCATGGTGCGCGGATTACCCCTTTAAGTACCTTGCTAATGGTCGCCTGTGTATTGCAGGACTGAGATATTTTTATTTTTATTTTTTATGAGCTTTTATGAATCTTTCTGCTTTTCCTGTTTGAGACAATTTTGAAAACCTCACCTTCTGGTTTGCTAAAAGAAGAACAAAAGACTTTATTGAACTTCTTCACATGTTTGAATATTTTTATATTGGTGTATGTGCAGTAAAGCTGCATATTCCATGCATTATTTGAAATACGGTCTTTGGCAACAAATACACCTTTCGCAAACATATATACCTACATCATCTTTCTCTGTAGATAGAAATACAGATATTTTACATTAAGGGAACACCATAGGGTCAGGAACACAAACATGTATTCCTGACCCTATAATGTTAAAACCACCATCTAGCCCCCCTGGGCCCCTCATGCCTCCATAAATATAGCAACATCTTACTTTTATTCAAGCCTGAAGCTGTAGCTCTGCATGCTGTTTGCCTCAGAAAAACAAGCTGTCTGTTGACATCATCAGGAGTGGTGGCCTGATCCAATCGCAATGCTTCTCCATAGGATTGGCTGAGACTTACAAGGAGGCAGATCAGGGGCAGAGCCAACACAATTTAAACACAGCTCTGGCCAATCAGCATCTCCTCATAGAGATTAATTGAATCCATGAATATCTGAGGAAAGTTCAGTGCCTGCATGCACAGGGAGGAGACACTGAATGTTTGGATGCATTTTAGGCAGCCATGACCCAGGAAGGATCTCTAACAGACATGTAAGGCAGTGATGGCGAACCTTTTTGAGCCCGAGTGCCCAAACCGCAATACATGCCAACTTTTTTTTCCTCAAAGTGCCAACACTGCAATTAAACCTGAATACTGAGATTTAAGTTTAGAAAAAACAACTCGTACAGTTGTCCGAACTAGTTAACATCTTTTGTTTTAAATAATACAAATTTTAAATAATGATATTAATAGATAAAATTAAGCTTATATTTATTAGTATCTCCAACAAATGCAATGCATACACACAGCTGAAAACATTCACACACCGACTGCTTAATACATTCACACACCGACTGCTTAATACATTCACACACACACAGTCAGCTGAATACACACATGTGATGTGTGCGGTGGGGTGGGGTGGGGGTGCTCTGTTGGGGGGGTTAAGATACATTAAAAACTTTTTTTTTTTTTTTTGTTGCTGCTTCCTGTATTCCCTCCCCCCGCTTCCGGTCCTGCAGACAAGGAAGCAGAGTAGGCACCTGCCGTTTTAGGCAGGTAGGTGCCTACTCTGCATTGATGCCGAACCTACGGCCGTGTGCACACAGAAAGGGCCCGGCATGCCACAGGTTCGCCATCACTGATCTAAGGAGTGGCCAGTGAAGTTATCACTAGGCTGTAATGTAAACACTGCATTTTCTCTGAAAAGACATTGTTTACAGCAAAAAGCCTAAACAGAACACTTAACAGAACAAATTCAATAAGCTGCAGTTGTTCTGGTGACTATAGTGTCCCTTTAAACGTTTGTTGGATGAATAAACAGACCCAAAATAGAAATAACCTAAAAGTGAAGAAAAAAATGTGGTTGCATTAGATGTCTTTAAAGTAATACTTCTCTTAAATTAAAATAAATATTTTTATCAGTGGAGTTATGGAAAAAACCCTGTTTATATTTAGAGACCTACTACCCTAGAAATGAAATTACTATTTACTAGCATTGAGAGGATGTACTTTCTGCAGCTCTGCTCCGCCTCACTGCTGTTCATCTCCCAGCCAGTTGTCTTTATAGGAGGTAGTGCTAATGCACAGACTTTGCCATGATGAGTCTGAAATGATTTTCATCAAAATAATTTAAACCAATGCTTTTTTTTTTATGAGAAACCTCACTTTAACTTTGTAGTAGGGCATAAAGCAGTCAGAAAGAGCACTCTCTTGTCTGTCTGGAAACCGTGATGTCACCAGAAAGAGGGGACATTTCTGTGTGTGTTTTTATTTTTAAACATTCAAGGTTTATAGTTGGTCATATGATTTAAATAGAGAAATATAGTAGCACTATGGGAAAGTACCTATTCATTAAGTTGCTAAGTTATACGTTGTATCCATTAACACTCCAGAGTCATGTCTTGAATCTAAGAAGATTGCTTAAGAATAGGGCACATTGACCTACTTCTAGTAGATAGACCTTCCATATTAAATTGATAAAATATCGTGCTTTGTGTATGCTTTGTCATATGCCATAGAGAAGGATTGAGTAGGCAAATAGGAAAACAGTGAAAGGTAGATAGAAATAAAGCAGAGGAGAGAAGGAAAGGTTCCCAATAGAATATAGGACAACAAAATAAAGATCCTGCGTGAAGATTTGATGGTATGCCCCGGTGAGCAAACAAAAATTGCCCAGGGTAAACCTGAAGATCTGAATCTTGGCACTCAGAAATCCACCTGAACAGCTAAGTCCCCCTCCCAAAAGGGTTCCTTGACCAGCAGCCTCCTGCACATTTACTTTGCCATTAAAAGCCCCTAACTTTCTCTCCCACTTCTGGACATTTGTCTAAGTTGAGCGTCCCACAGCCCCATCACCCTGGACCAGCAGGGCTTGTAGCAAAGGGGACACTCTCCAGACCCCCTACGAAGACCCATAGGTGGAGGCCTCTGCATTCCATCCCCCCTCACATCCGGCAACTCTGAAACATGGCGTCCGTCTCTAGGATTATAGGTAGATGGCAGGTGTGGTCTATCGGTCCGTCTCTCTATCCTCCTGTTTCCAGGACATAAGTAGAAGAGAAATAAGCCGTAGCAGTTTCACAGTCTGTCACATGGATATGTGGGTGCCAAATCAAAATTAAATATTAATGAAACCGAAACTTGAGCATGGATACCGGGATAGCCCCACCAGTCTGAAAAGGGAAGGTGACTCTATTTTGTTTGCAGCTAAATCGTCCGGAAATGGAATCATCTTGCTGGAAGAGCATGGTATCCCAACCAAATTGCAGGTCACGCAGTAAGCATTAGGTGTAAGAGGTTATAAATGGAGTTCTTTAAAGGGTAAACTTTCCTGTCTGTGCGATGGCCTGGCATGGTCCCACCCCACTAAGGGGCACTCTATTAACCCACATTGTGTACTATTGTCATATTTCAAAAGTCTGGGAACTATACATTTCAAGGATCATACACTAAGCAGGCATTGCTTGCCAGCCAGATTGGTCTAGACATGATCGACATGAGCTCTGTGGGCGTTTTTTAAAGAGAGGTATTGAAGTGAGGCAGAATATGAGAACAGCCATGTCCTATAACTCTTTGCAGGGCCTCCCCCATAAAGTCAACTTTTCAATACTTGCAGCAAGACTATAGACTTCATGAACTCACTCAGTCTGTGTTCTGAGCTCACTCTGCATTGGAATGTTTAGTTGCAAATCTGCAACTGTTTTTAATGGAACATGTTCCTTGAAGGGCTATTTGGTTGCATTCTTGTCTTCGCCCCCAGGCCCCTCCTTTAGATTCCTACAGTGATGTACTCAGAGATGTAGTGTTCCATTTGGAACAAAAGAAAGGCATGTGCTCGAGGGATTCAATGAAAGCAATTCATCTGTTTTTTTTTGTTTGTTTTTTTTCATCTATACACAGATTTTGAGTGCCTCTCTATACCCTGCTTTCTCTTTTTAAAGCATTGAAAAGGGTCAGTCACAGCAGTGGTGGGTATTTTTGAAAGATTTTCATTTATTTCTATAACTCTTAATGTAGAGAATAGTTTTTGTGTTTTAAAGAATTAAAATAACATTTTTAATTTTTTTAATGTAACAAAGACACTGAAACTTTTCTTGTTTTCAGATAGTAAGGTAAATTTTATTCATTTGAGATGTTAATTTATGTATAATGCTAATATGCAATGTAAAGTAAATCTTACAATTTCGCGTTCGATCAGACATTATCTGTGTTGGTATACAGATACATTCTGGTGAATGGTGATAACGGTGGGAGCTTAGTTTCCCTGTGTGCAAGTTGCTGTATCATGGATGTAGGATAATTTATATGCTCATGTCCTCTATCATAATGTCAGCAATGCTGTTAAAGTCCCATCTGACATCTCAAGAGCTTATGAAAGCATGGTTTTATCATGAAATGCATTTCTCTGGGGCAAGTACTTAATCTCCCG